ACTAGGGCTATGCAATAAACTTGACCCTTTCCTTCTTTCAATTTCAGTGTGCGGCAAAGTTAACCAAGTTAGAATGTCCTTTTGTGGTTAAATAGAAATTTGCTTCGTAAGTGTAAGTTTCCCCTCCTGTGCGATATATATGTGGTTTGCATTTTCGTGGCACAAGCACAGTAAGATATACTTCTTGCGGAAAAAAGTGATTGTCCCCTTTTTCCCATAAAACCTCACTTGATTTTGTAATGTTCATTTGCTGTCTATCTTTTCAATGCAGGTATCAGAACTGGAAAAGGACATTTTAGATGCTAAAGAGAAAATTCAGTTTTACCACTCGAAGATGCAAGAACTTGTGAGTTTATATAGTTTCTTTCACATGCTACGGCTGTGTGTTGGCATTTAGATTCACTTCGAAATGCATTTAGTTTTAAATAAACTACTGCTATGTTGGATGATTCTACCTTTCCCATAATTTCACTAGTTCACTTTACATCCATGCGTTAGTTGATAAGAGAGAGGCAGGGAGATGTAGATGTAGTCATGTAGAGTGACACGCATCGTATTTCAGGGCCTTTTGACTCTCATTAAATGTAGTCCATAGATAATTCATTTGTCCCATGGTTGACACAATCTTTGTTTTGGACATATAAAAGCTAGCACACGCTATTTGTTATTGAAATTTAATAGTTTCACAATGCATCATAAACCTTCTTGCGCTAATACCTGCCATTTGTTGCCAGATTCTATACAAAAGCAGATGTGATAATCGGCTAAACGAGATTACTGAAAGAGTTTCCGGTGACAAAAGAGAGGTATATCTTTGATGATAATGGTTGCATTTATATTCAGAGATACCTGCTATTTGTGTGACACACTTGACCAAGTTATATATCAGGCTGACACATTGGCAAAGAAATATGAAGAGAAGTACAAGCAGGTCGGAGATGTAGCATCTAAATTAACCATTGAAGAGGCCACGTTTCGTGATATTCAGGTATTCGGATTTTTTCTGCTGCTAGACTCTACCAGAATATCTGTTTACTCTGGCTTGTCCTTTTTCTCTTTCTGCTGTCTATATATAGACTTTATGCTTTCACAGTTTCACCAGATTTGTCAGATTATAAGGTTGGCCGTATTGTATGTAGGAGAAAAAAATGGAACTATATCGAGCAATTGTCAAGTTGGAACAAGGCAATGCTGATGGTATTCAGGTATGCTCTACCATCTTATGATTTCCTGAAGACCTGTGGAGTAGTTTTAAAAACAAATTTTGGTTTCTCCAGGATCGTGCTAATCAGATCCAGTTAGATCTTGAGAAGCTGGTAAAAGCCTTAAATGAACGTTGCAAAACTTATGGATTACGTGGAAAACCAACTTCATTGGTCGAGCTTCCATTTGGTACAGAAATCAACATAGTTATACTTGAGCATTTTCATTTCTTTCATTCTTCTTTAGTATGAACTAATCATCTAGTCGATCATTGGGGATTCTACTGTTGGTCACCATAAATATCTATTCTTAATTCAGCTAGCTTTTCTATTGCATTGGTATATCTCCTACTTTTATGTTACTTACAGAAATCTGCATATAAAATCTAAACCCATGAAACAATTTTTGGTTTGCCTTTCAGTTCCTTCTATGTGCTACTAGTTCTTAGTTGTGACTCCATTTCAGTTATTATTTTTTTACTTGGACTGTTTCATTCATGCCTAACCTTAACAAATTTCATAACTCGGGGAAGCTATATTGTTTTAACTTTGAAATCGGTGTGAAACAGTGACTATGTCGTGTGTGTGATCAACACTGTTTTTCATCTTTTCCATTGATCAGATCCTCAGTTGTAATTACATACATATTTTTCATCGTAAGCATTATTTTCAATTGGCGAGTCCCTGCTGGCATGTATTTAACTATTGAAGTAAGAAGCTTAGAGCCTATCTGTGGAAGTGCCAAAGTGAGCCCCATCTGGCAGCCGAAGCAAGAGTTGATGGAATTAATATTAGAAATCTTTGTGGATACATTTAGTTCATTTTAGAAAATACCGAATTGATTTCACACTTGGTAATTTCAAAGATAGATCAAAATCAATTTGTCATGCTCCATGTGGAATATTTTGTTCATATTTGTGTGAGCCTTTTTGTTGTTACAATTTCTGTCCAGGTTGGCAACCTGGTATACAAGAAGGAGCAGCTGATTGGGAAGAAGTTTGGGACAAGTTTGAAGATGAAGGTGCTCTTTGAAATTTAATAGCTGTGTACATAAAATATACTTTATACTGGAAACTTATGATATCCTACAATATTATCAGCAAATTTCCATGTTGAATAAATGTAAATACCTAGTCTATTTACATGTCCATCAAAAAGTGAAAAGTTGAGTGTACTGTGTATCAATTATCTTTTCTAGTGAGATCCTGCTGATTCCTCTTGTTGCACTTTCCACAATTTCAGGATTCACATTTGTCAAAGAGCTCACTCTTGAGGTTCAAAATGTCATTGCCCCTCCCAAACCCAAGTCTTCATCGTTTAGAGAGAGAACATTTACTGCCTTAGATGACAATGTTGCTGGAAAATCACCCTCTAATGCTGATGAGAAATCAGAAGTGGTTAGTGTCGGGGAGAGGACACCTGAGACAGAGGGGACAAATACTGACAACTTAGATGAAACAGCAAGAAGTCCACCAGAGAGTCCTGCAGGAAGTAATGCAGTCAGGAGCCCATCAAAGGAATTCCAAGATCTTCAGACTAGAAAGGGCATTAACGTAAATGGTTCACCCCATGCGTTCGAGACCCAGAGGTAGTGAGATTATATTCTTCCCCCCCACCCCTTGTGACCAGTATTCGGGTTGAGCCTCTGATTAGTAGTTCCAACTGTCGTACAATTTATGTATAGCTATATACGCTGCTTTTTATCAAAAATTTCTAATGTAATGGATTTTCTAATGCATTTAATATGCTGGTGCTGAATCTGTACTTTCTAGGGACAGAGGTTATGATGAACCAGGATGGGGTTCCTACGATACGCATTATGATATGGATGGGACATGGGATTTCAATCCTCTCTCTACCAAGGTATTTGAGAATGCTTCGATGTTCATGCCAAATATTTTACTAGCATTTACATTCATTATAGATTGTATTCTACTTCCACTGTTAAACCAAATTTTGTCAATTGTTTTCACTTATTTTTTTTGTTTTTTAGAAGGTATATATGCATCCTTATCTTTACCCTCTCCCTCTCACTGTCACCCACCCCGTCCCTACACGAAATATAATAAAATAAAACTTTGTGTTGAGCTGATGCACGAGTTTAAAGTTCTCCACATGGGAGTTTGTTCTCGTCTTATTTGTTCACCACTGTAATGCAGGACTCAGATGGTAAGAGGCATAGTGAAAGTTCTTTATTCGGTTCAGATAACTGGGATCTACCACCAATTAAAACCGGGTCAACAGCCACAGATGCAATGTTCCCAAAACAGGGCCCTGTATTTGATTCTTTTCCAAGCACCCCCATTACAAATTTTGCCAGCTCTCCACACATAGATAACATTTTCCCAAAGCAGGGTCCTCTTTTTGACTCTGTTCCAAGCACCCCAATTTCGAATTTTGCGAGCTCTCCGCACATAGATAACATTTTCCAGAGGAAGAGCACATTTGCTTTTGCAGATTCTGTCCCAAGCACCCCAATGTTGAATTCTAGCAACTCTCCAAAAAATTTCACTGAAGGTTTAGAAGATCATTCATTTAACAGCTTCTCCAGATTTGATTCCTTCAACACGCATGATAGTGGCCCTTTTGCATCAGGGGAAACCTTTTCAAGATTTGATTCCATGCAAAGCACAAGAGATTCCGACTTTGATCAGGGGTACTTTGCTCCACAAGATTCACTTACAAGATTTGACTCATTCCGCAGCACGGCAGACTCCGAGTATGGACTCTTCCCTCCAAGCGATTCATTTACAAGATTTGATTCCATGGGCAGTACCAGAGACTCCGAGTATGGCCATGGTTTCTCATCCTTTGACGATGCAGATCCATTTGGATCAAATGATCCTTTTAAGTCTTCACATGAGGCTCAGACTCCAAGGAGAGATTCAGACAGATGGAAAGCGTTCTAGGACTAATTTTTCACTAGTTTCTGTCTCAGTCGAAGCTTGTTGTGAGGGTTCTTGGTATAGTCAAGGCAATTAGGTTGTTTCATTTGACAACTCAGCGTGTTCCAATCTCTGTCACTGATTTTGCCGTTTTACCCTCGAAATTCATCCTTTTTCTTTTCTATAATGATGCCTTAATATTTGCTCATATTCATTTTTTTATTTACCAGCTAGATTGTGTAATGTGGAGGCATTATGACAGGGCTTTTCGAGTTGATATTTGATGGTCAAATTTTTTTTTTTTTTTTTTTGTTTTGATGTAAGATATATAGGATGAGATAAACGTTGAGAATGTGAGTTTTGCCGTTTTGATGTCTGCATTTGCTTTGTGTTGTTTATTTTGGTTGTTCGTTCCTTGTTTGGTATGTTAGATAGGTGTGAAACATACCTGTTTGCAACGTGCCTTTAGGCTAGTATTAAGAAGGTAATGTGTCTATGCATAAATTATGCATTAGACATGATGTCATGAAAGCATGGCCTCTGTAGTTCTGGTTTTTTTTTAATGAAAACTTTATTCAATCATCCCTCATTTATGACGGAGTAATACCGTGGCAACAAAACAACAAAAGAGCCAAAAGCCATAAATGCCCTAATCAAGCAAGTGAAAACAAACATATCAACCTCACTACTATTGCCTAATGTTAGGAAAATCAAGCTTATCCATACGAATAATACATTTTAAGAAATTTGGCATTTGGTCTAAGTGCATGTACCTTATCGTGACACCATCCGCCCCTTGTTTGGCTAGAAGATCTATTGCTCTATTTGCTTCTCTATACGATGAGAGATAGTAAAACTGATGTCGCTAAGCAATTTTAATAACTCATCCCAATAATCCGACAAATACCAAATCTTACGTAAACGGTGTGAACCAATTTACCACTACTGTTGAATCACATTCAATCTCTACCCGTTGAAAACCCAACTCTTTACATAGCTCTACCCCAATAATAACAGCACGCAATTTTGTTTCATTGTTGCTTCCATAACCATATTTAACACAGAAACCAGCAACCAAATTATCATAATGATCCCTAGTCACTCCCCCACCTCTACAAGGTCCCGAATTACCAACACAACTCCCATCTACATTGAGTTTTACCCAACCAGCAGCAGGTTTCCTCCAAGAAACTAAAAGAGTTTGTTTACTCACCTTAGAACCCATAGGCAGCTCTGAAGCTTTGAGAAGTTCATGACTGTTTTGCTTAGCTTTGAAACTTTAACTATTTCTTCAGCAAGGAGACGCAACCAAGCCTTTATAGCTAACCATACCTCCTCTGCAAATTCTCGATTCCCTTCCATACGTGCCTTGCATCGACATCCCCAAAGCTTCCCTGTAATCAAACTTGGTAATAGCCCAATTAAGATTCCACGCTGTGAAACATTTTTTGCACATGTAAACCATCGATTAACTCTTATCCACCATGATTGTGCCTCAAAGTAGTGCACTCCCAAGGCCAAGGAGGCCCATTTCCAAACTACTTTAGCAATATCACCAGAGTTGAGCACATGATCCAGTGTTTCCACTTGTCCCTTATCGCAACAATCACAACGTGAAACTAGAGCAACCCCTGTTGATCTCACCCTAGAGTCCACACTTAAACAGTTAAACTTAACTTTCCACATGCAAAAGGACACTTTTTTGGGTAGAAATTTATGCCATATCCATTTCATCCAAGGAATCTTTGGACTCCTCACCCTTACAATATCCCAAGCACTTGAAGTTGAGAAATCTCCATTGTCATTCGGCTTCCATATGACCATATCACTTCCTTCTTTTCTAGCCCCAATGGTTTGAACTACTTCTGCTGCCTTCGTCTCACACATTAGCTCTTTAAGATAAGTGAAATCCTAGCTATCTTCAATCCAACAATCTCTAACCTGAAGTCTTGGGTTAGTTACCTCCAAAAAACACTCACTTAAAGGGCCACTCGCTAACCAACGATCATACCAAAAGGATGCCGACCTTTCTTTAATCCTCCATTTTGAATTCTCATATACCTCAGGTAGAACCTTTACAATTGATTTCCACAAACTGGATCCTTTATTATTAGAGTTCCGTAAAAGATGTCCACTCTTTACATATTTGGCAAGGAGAAAACTAGACCACAAAATGTTAGTAGTCATAAGACGCCATGCAAGTTTCATATGGAGAGATCTTTGAACTGCAGCAAAATCAAGTACCCAAGTCCACCCTCTGTAATTGGCATGCAATTGTAGACCAAGCACGCCATTTCTTTTTTCGTTTTTCGTTACTCTCACCCCAAAAGAATGTGGATAATAAAGAGTTCATATTGTTGAGAACTCTCTTCGGCACATTAACCACAGCCAATAAATGTGTCGCCATACAAGACAAGACATGACGGACTAAAATAAGACGACCCCTTAAGAAAGTAGCCTCATTTTCCAACCTGCTATCTTGGTGCGAATTTTGGCAACCAAAGTCTCCAAATGTCTAGCCGTAAGATGACCAGAGGTAATACGCACTCCTAAAAAAACCACTGGAAAATGCCCCTCATTAAAACCAGTTAACCAAAGCAAACCTCTCTTCTTTGTATAGCCGATCATTTTAGAAAAGAAAATAGTCGATTTCTCAATATTTATCAATGGTCCCGACCACTTTTCATAAGTACTCAGAGTCTTCATGAGCAACTTCATAGATTTGCTACGTCCATTCGTAAACACTACCACATCATCGGCATATAATAGATGTGAAACTAAAGGGGCCCCAACAAGGTGATAGAACCTCCCAATTCTGCCATCCTCAAACCCTTTAAGTAAAAGACGTGATAAAACCTCTTCCATAGTGGTGAACAAATAAGGAGACAAATGGTCACTTCGACGGAGCCCTCTACTTGATTTGAAGAAACATTTATAGGTCCCATTCATCATTATCAAAAACCAAGGAGCGGTAACACACTCAGCCACTAAATCACAAAACCTTTTCGAGAAACCAAACACTTCAAGCACATGCAGTAAGAACCTCCAATCTACTCTATCATAAGCCTTTGTGTAGCGACCCGAATTTTAAAATGCAGATTTTATAACTTAAGTTGTGTCGCTACTACATCTCCGTCAAGTTTTAGAAATTATTTTACGTCCATCGAGTCGTCTAGTAAAACATTTAATATAAGAATTCAAAACGATTTTTAATCTTAAAAATTCAATATTTTCTTATTGGGTCGAA